GGCCCTCACACCTGTTTCGGTGACTCTGCAGGCTTCCGCGGGGCTCCAGGGAAGGCAGGTCCCCAGGGAAGAGGCGGTGTGTCTGCCAACCCCGGATTCCGAGGAGACCTGGGGCCCATGGGGCACCAGGGGCCGCTGGGCCAGGAAGGTGAGTGATGGACGATGAAAGGGGGCAGCGGGCAGGGGCTTCATCCAGGCCTGCTGTGGTCTGACAGATGGACTGTGGTGTGCAAAGAGGGAGTAAAGGAGCGCTAAGAGAGACACGCAGAGAGAAGAGACTGTACCCCTTCTGCTCTGAAACCCCAGCTCAGCTCCCAGGACCCTCGCTGCAGCCTTGGTCCTGGGTGCACGCCCCAACACCTGCACCCAGCAGAGTATCTGCACCCAGCAGAGCACCTGGGCCCAGCAGAGCACCTGGCACAGAACCTCCAGGACAGGCTGGCTTCTTGCCTTCCTCTGAAGCCTGTGTGGGTGCCTCTGAGAAGGAAGCACCTGAGATACCTGAGAGATAAGATTTGTAAAGACCTGAAGGCTGAGACAATGAGATGAAAGAAACCAATTATATCAACGGGAGTCTCGTATTACTAACTTCTTAAAATTATTTGTACATGTGCAGGATGGGATAGGCCAGAAATAATAGCTAGTCATGCAAAAAAAAAAAATGTTGAGATGTCATCCACCTGTACTCGTCACAGTATGAGGCTGCATTATCAGCGCCCACATCTCAGGAAGCAGCAATCTGCTACCCTCTGGATGGACTCGCCCACGGCCGGATTGTGTAACATGGGGGATGCACATCTGGAGACGCACATGGACAGATAGGAGCCATCCAGGCGAGGAGACCGAGACAGTGCAGGGCAGAGGAGATGTCCTAATGAGAAAGGGAAGGTGGCGAGAGTGAAAATGCCCTTGCAGGGGAGAGGTCACAGGAACATGATCAGGACAGCTAATGTCAAACACTTGAAGGGCTGTCCTGTTGAAGACAGAGTAGACATTCCGTCCTCTGACAGGAGAATCCAGCCTCCTGAGTGGGTATTTCTAGCCCCAGGGTGGCCCAATTGTGCACTGAGCTGCCTCTCCCCAAGCATCCAGGCAAGGGAGGCCTGCCGCTGGGGGTAGAGGAGCCCATTGGTTGCGCCTGCGCACTAAGGTTTGTGTAGACTCCACCATTGTAGGGAGGCTGGACTTTAATACATCTGGGGCCCCTTTCAGGTGTTCTAGTTCTTGCTCAGCACTAGTGCAAGGGCAAAGCGCATGAGACCACCGAGTCCGTGCCCTTGTTCAGTGCCCTCACTGTCATCATTGCATGCTTACTGAGCACAGAATGTAGGTCAGGTCCTCCCCAGGAGACACTGGTCTACAAGGGCAGAGCCACGGGCACCTGGGCCTCCAGAGAAAGCCAAGCGACAGCAGTAGATGTTACCATGTGCTGTCAGCCACAGGCTGTGAGCTGAGGTCTACATGGCAGCTGAAAGGCGGCTCTTTCCTTTTTGGACCCTAGGGGAGCCAGGCCGCCCCGGGACGCCTGGCCTGCCTGGCATGCCCGGCCGCAGCGTCGGCATCGGCTACCTCCTGGTGAAGCACAGCCAGACGGACCAGGAGCCCATGTGCCCAGTGGGCATGAACAAGCTGTGGAGTGGATACAGCCTGTTGTACTTTGAAGGCCAGGAGAAAGCCCACAACCAGGACCTGGGTAGGTACCACCCGCCAGTCCCCAAGGCCAGCCAGCTGCAGGTGGTCAAAACTGAATGGCCACAGTGAGGCTCATGAAACCTCTACAGATGAGCTTCTCCTGGGGTTCCAGAAAGGGTTAAAATGGCCTTTGGTGCCCTCAGGTGAGGACCACAGAGACCTGCCTTTAACTCCAAGGAGCCGCCCACAGGCTCCCAGGAGTCCCAGCCTTGTACTGGCTCCTCTCTGCCCGGAAGCCACCAGCTGCTTCATCTCCTTACTTTTTGCCCCAAGTTCTGTAAACAGTCGGGCTGGGCTCATGAGGGCCTGGGGGTCACATAGAACCCCCAGGAAAATGGATATGTGGGAGGGTGTGCTCGGATTTATTCAAGTAAACCTGGTTGCCAGAAGGAATTAAAATGGCTTGAAAGCACACGGACGTTAAACGCTGGGGCCCGGAGGGAGGGTGTCTCTGTCTGAGGCATCTGTGTTGGGGCC